GGTATTCTTTAAGAAGAGGAAGAAGAAGAAAAAGGTAAAGATAAAAATTATGAACAACAAAGTGACAACAAATATCTATCAACAAGTGAATCTAAAAATCAAGTGAATAAAAAATCTGATGAACAGAATAAACTGGTGAATATAATAGAAGCAGGGGCATAGAAAGGGAGTGGACTGACAATTCTCAGGGGGAAGCGGGTGTTTGGGGTGGGGGAAGAGACTGGACAAAAATCGAACACCTATGGACGAGGGGAATGCGGGGGCAGGGGTAAGGACATGGGGTGGGGTGGGAACCGGGTGGAGGGGAGCTATGAGGGGAAAAAGAGGAACAACTGTAATAATCTGAACAATAAAGATTTATAAAAAAGAGAGAAATTGCAGTGAGCCACAAGGGGGTATGTGAACATCCCTTGAGAATTTATCATCATAAGATAGCTTTTTATGAGGTTTGCAGTCCACATTCTCACTACCTGGGTAGCCTGAAAAAGTTCAGGCCAGCAATTTAGTTTAACATGGTCCAGGTCTGGTGTTGTCTCTGGGCATCTGATATATGAAATGAGGACATTAGGGCTTCTACTTTAATAATCACAGACTAGGTAATTTAAACCCACATCCATGCTGGGGACATGTAGGAAACTCAAATAAAATATGCAAAACCTCTGCTTAAAGACACTGGAGAGATAACAAGATAATGAAGAACTCCTGGGCTGGAAGCCATGGAGATGAGCCCAGGTTTGAGACCTCCTTTCTCTGGAGGGAATTTGCCAACTGCAGAGCAAGTGGATGGGATTTGAGTAGTGGTTCCGACAACCTCATGGGGCTAATGAGACAGAACAGAGACTTGAAAAGGAGAAGGTCATGGGTTAACCCCTCTCACTTTGGGTTAGAGTCCCAAAAGGCTGCCATAGCAATAAAGGTGAATCAGGAATGGGCAGTCCGTCACAGGAACCATAGTTCAGCTTTGAATCGTTTTACTCTTTAAAATTAGACTAGCTTGTTAGTGCCGTTGGCCTGTGGTTTTTTTGAAACTCACCATTTGCTGATTCATTTCTTTAGGAACCTTACTATGTACGTTGCATCAAACCCAATGACAAGAAATCCCCGCAGGTATTTGATGATGAGCGCTGCCGGCATCAGGTTGAGTACCTTGGGCTATTGGAAAACGTGAGGGTGCGACGGGCAGGATTTGCCTTCCGCCAGGCGTACGAGAAGTTTCTGCACAGGTGAGAATGGTCTCAACAAAGAAACCTGCTATCACACAGAATTATGGAGTCCTAGGCTTCCCCCATGTGGGACCATGCGTGAGCATCTGACTATCTGGTGAATGAACAATAGAGTTGAGGAAGCTGCAGGCGGACACCCCCCAAGGGGTCCTTAGTACTGCCGCGGAGTCGAGAAAGGCTCCCACCACTGCCACTGCATTCACCAGCTGTGAGCCCAGCTTCTGACTGAACGGCGCTCCCCCTGTGGGACTGCACTGACCACTAGGGGGCAGCTCCTGTGTTGAGCATCTGCCCCCTGGTGGTCAGTGTGCGTCATAGTGACCGGTCATTCCGCAGTTCGTTTGATTTGCATATTAGCCTGTTATATAGGATTCGTAAGGTTTCTGATTTTGTTTCCTTTTTCCACATGATGTTGTGTAATGTTACCTCTCTCTTCATAGTAGAATTCTTTCATTGGGCTTCTATTTCTGTCCCTCTCTGGCAAGTGAATAAGCTTTTAGATGTATTTCCTTCTGGGTGTTTTTTGTTTGTTTGTTTCACTCAACAAATCTATTTCCTCATCAGATGGCAGGCAACATGGTATATATATAGTGGGGAACAAAACACAGTCCCTGCCTTCCTGATACCCACAGACTAAGGAGAGTGGGCAAAGCCTTTCTCGCTGTGACTTAAAATTCGGATGCAGAGTGTGAACATGACTAAATTTGACTCCATGTATTGAACAAGTTTGCACCTGGGTCAGGGGGAGCCCTGGGGTAAGCAGCCTTCCAAGCTGGTCCCAAGATCCCCACCTCCTGGAATTCACCCTGTCTAGTCCCCTTCCCTCTAGGGTGGCCTGGGCCTGGTGATCTGCTGCTAGCAAAGTGGAATATGGGAAACACGATGGGATGTCACTTGTGGGATTAGGCTGCAAAGGGCTGTGACTCTGTGCCTTCCATCTTGCTCACACTCACATCCTGTGTCGTGAAGTTGGTGTGTAGGGAGCTGCCCTGTGAGAGGCCCACGGGGCCAAGAAGTGTTGGCCACTTGCACATAGGAGCACAGTTGATTTTTGTCTATTCATCTTATATGCAGAATGCGGCTTAGTTTTCTTTCTGTGATAATAGTTTATCTGCTTGGTTTCCTCTGAAGCAAGTATATTGTGCATAAATAATGTCAGTTGTGCACTTTCCCCAGTCACTTACCTGTTCGTTTATTAGTCTCACTGTGCTGGTTAGAAAACCTGTGATAGCGGCAACCCTGTCTTGTTTCTATCGGTGAAGAGAATGCTTCCAACGCTGCCTCTTTACAGATGATATCAGCTGTAAGTTCTTGGCGCAGCGCCTTTATTAAATTCAGGAAGGCCCCTTCGATCCCTGCATTAGGAAGGGGTGTTATGAAGGAGTGTTGGATCTTAGTGGAGGTTTTTCCCCACATCTCTTATCAGGCTATGACATTTATTTCTATTCCCAATTTCCAAAGAAGTTTTGTTTTGTTTTGTTTTCTTTTTTTTCTTTTCTGTGGAGCATCTTGAATTTTAATTTCCAAAGAAGTTTTGTTTTCTTTTCTTTTTTTTCTTTTCTGTGGAGCATCTTGAATTTTACGGAATGGTTTTTCTGCGTCTGTTGAGATCACGTGGTTTTCCTCCCTTCATCTGTGCCCTGTTCTTGGTTCACCAGGTACAAGATGATCTCGGAATTCACCTGGCCCAACCACGACCTCCCTTCAGACAAAGAGGCTGTGAAGAAACTGATCGAACAGTGTGGCTTTCAGGAAGACGTGGCTTACGGGAAGACCAAGATTTTCATCCGCACACCCCGCACGCTGTTTACCTTGGAGGAGCTCCGCGCCCAGATGCTCCTGAGGATCGTCCTCTTTCTCCAAAAGGTAATTGTACATTTTACAGACACGGAGGAGGCCTTGCCGGTACCTTCTCAAAAATCTGTGGAACCTTTTCTTTGATTCAAGAAATGTTCGTGATGGTGTATTTTTTGGTATCTACACATACCTTGGAGTGCTTTCTGTTACCTTTCACACATGGAAAACTTATTTGGCTGTCTTAGCTCCAAATTATTTTAGCCTCAAAATGCTGGAGACATTTTGTCGTCTGGTATTTAAAGTTGGAGAGATGCCTGAAACAGCCTGTTTTTGTCTCTTCTGTTAACTGAGGTGTTTCCCTCAGCTGAACTGCATGAGGAACTTTTTAAATTTTATTTTGTCATTCAAAAGTTTTGCCCAGATGTTTGAAACAACCTCCTTTACCCTTCATTACCCACCACCTGCAGTGACTGAGGTGTGCAATGTTGGCATCAGGATGCTATTCAGATCCTGGTACCCATCCCCATTGACCTTACAGGGCTCCCTTCTCATTTCATTCACTCATTCATGTATTTCTTTTCATTTCCTTACACCTATTTTCAGACCTTCCATATGAACCCTTTTAGTGTAAAATATTATATGTGTACATAAAAAGAAATCCTGTGTCTCTGGGAGAATGTCCCCGGCATATATACCTGGAGAAAAGGGCCTAGGTCATTGGGTAGGTGCAGACCTAATTGATATAAGGCGTGCCAGGTTCCTCTCCAAAATGCCTCTGCCAGTCTGCACCACCACCAGCTGTACATGGGGGTCGCTGTGTGCCCACATCCTTACAGTATCATCCAGCTGCCTATACATTTTGCCAGACTGGTAGGTGGTATGATATCTCGCTGTTGCACTTTTCATTTCTCCATTTACCATTGCATTTGAGCATCTCATTGAATACTCGTTTGCTTTTTGGGTTTTCTATAAACTGTTTGTTCATATTCTTTGTCCCTTTGTCTACTGGAGTTGGTATCATTTTCTTGTTGATTATCAGGAATTTTATGAATATTTTATACATAAATCTTACATTCACTTTAGACATTGTAAATATATCCTCTTATTCTGTATGCATTCTGATGTTTTTATAATATGCTTTGTGGAAGAGAATCCTTAATTTTGACATAATCAAATTCTTCAGGATTTCATCTTATATTTTGTGCTTTGGAATTTTGTTTAAGAGGGCTTTCCCCAGCCCTAGCTGGTTTGGCTCAGTGGATAGAGCGCCGGCCTGCGGACTGAAGGGTCCCGGGTTTGATTCCGGTCAAGGGCACATCCCTGGGTCGCAGGCTTGATCTGCACTGGGGGGTGTACGGGAGGCAGCCGATCCATGATTCTCTCTCATCGGTGATGTTTCTATCTCTCTCCCTGCCTTTCCCTTCCTCTCTGAAATCAATAGGAATATATTTTTAAAAAGAGAGAGAGGGCTTTCCCTGTTTCCAGGTCACAAAGATACTGTCCTATATTTTCTTCTGTGAACTGTGTACCTTTACCTTTCACATGTAGGTCTTTAATCCGTTTATAATCCACCTGTATGTGTGGTTTTAGATAGAAACCCAGTTTCATTTTCTTCTGTATGGTGAGCAGGTTTTCTCAACACCATCTACTAAACAACCTGTCCTTTACCGCTGATTTTATTATATGGTAAATATGTATATTCTGTTTCTGAGTGCTCTGTTCTGTTTTTATATCTGCCTGTTTTTGCATTAATGCCACTCAGTTTTTATTATAGCATGTCTTAGTGTATCATAGGATAACTCCATCTTCTCTACTCTTCTTTATTAAAGTCAATTAACCTGTATATAGACTTTTATTTTGCAGTATACATTTTAATGTGTGTTTATCGTGTTCATTAAATTCAACAATACTTTTTCCTAGGACTGCATTGAAATTTGAAAGGATTAACATTTTTACAATAATAAATCATTTAAGGGTATAGACTAGGCTTTCACCTTTGACTTAGAGACTCCTTATGAATTCCTGGTTCATTCTAGATATTTTATTGTTTCTGTTACTGCAGTGAATTTTTTTTTATTTTCTACATGGCAGAGTTGACACACAGAAATAATGTTGGCTTTTATTGGTGGACCTGTATCCCGATGAAACCTTTCTTGACTTATATTTGCTGATTCTGTTAGTTTTCCTGGGTAGATGATTCTATCATGGGCAAATAACGGACATTTTCTCATCCCAGTTCCTAAGTGTTGGTCGCTTTCATTTGTTTTGCCTAGAATTCGGAAGAACTCGGGGTGAAATACTAAATTCCATTGCATCCTGAAACAATTTCCTTCTGTTACTTGTTGTGTGTTTTTATATTGCTTTTACTCAGTTCTGTTTTCTCTCCCAGTTTACTGCTAGTACATTGACAGGTTTGGGTCTCTGTTTTCTGTCTGCCATGGTGCATTATTTTTATATACCAGTTCTTCAGTATTTTCCAGTGATGCTTTCGTTGTTGTTTTGCAGGTCTGATACTTTTTCTTCTTTATACCTGTCCGAGAGGTTGACTCAGCTTAGGGTGCACCTGAACCAGTGTAACCATACCTCTCAGTTTGCTTGGGACAGTCCTGGTTTGTGACTGTTGTCTGTTATAACTCTTAGCAGTACCCCTTCGCTCTCGAAACTGTTCCAGTATGGATAATACACCGAAGAGTCACCGTCCCCTGAACTTTCTGTCGTGTGGTGGCTGGTAGAATCCTGTTCTTAAACCAAGTGGTCAGCGTCCCACAGACTTGAGTCTATTACAGCTCTGCTAGCCATAAATAGGACTCACTCCTCTCCCTCTCACTCCGCAGCCAAGCCTTACATAAATATTGTCATTCCAGCCCTGCCCGGGTGGCTCAGTTGGTTAGAATATCATCCCATACACCAAAAGGGTCATGGGTTGGATTCCCAGTCAGGGCACATACACGGTTATAGGTTCGGTTATAGGTTCTATCCCTCGTCAGGATGCATGCGGAAGGCAACTGGTCGATGTTTCCCTCTCACATTGATGTTTCTCTCTCTCTCTCTCTCTCTCTCTCTCTCACCAATTAAAAGAACCCTCCCCCAAAAATTATAATTCAGCTATACACACCTACGAGGATTCTTTCTTTGAAAGTCCTCTCTACAGCACCTCTGCTTCCTTTCTGATGAGAAATTAGAATTTCTACCCAGAGGAGAGATTCTAAAAGAAAAGGGAGAGCTGTCCCAGAAACCACCACCGATGCCCTGGAGGGCAAGCTTCTCCAGTCCTCTTGGGATGCAGATCTGGCGATTCCTAACCAGAAGGCAGTGCAGTAGGAGCAGGGAGCTTCCTCCCAGGCCTCAGGCAAGACCACTCTGGGGCTTGACTTATACAATCTACTGATTGTGTTCTTTAAACAACTCCTCAAGCCATAAAATTAGTGGAAATTTCTGTCAGCTTCTGGGAATAGGCTATCAGCCACCTATCTTCCCACGGGATGTTTTCACTTTCTCTCTATTTTTGTAAGGATTTAATGGAAAGTTAAGAGAGACAGCATCAAAGATGCTATTTTTAAACAAGAATCTCCAACCATCAGTTTTTATTTCCTTTTTCAAGAAAAAATAGCTTTATCTTTTTTTCTGATTATCTAATTAAAGTATGGCTCACTGTAAAAACAAGTTCAAACCACACAGGAAAGTATCAGGGAACTGGGAGAAACCACCTAAAATCCCACCATTCCGAGGTAACACCACGAACATCGTGGTCACCATCCTTTGCGATGTCTTTCTGTGCATGTATCCAAGCAGAGATGCCAGAATAGAAATGAGATCAGAGCTCATGTGGCGATTTTATCGATGCACCTTTCTCTTTTTCTACAATATTTACTACCTTCTGCACCCACAACTTCTCCTACCTCCTGTGTCCAGGATCCGCAAGACCACTCCCAGTCTCAGTGATTCACTGAAAGGACCCCCAGGACTCAGTATATAGTTGTGCTAGTGAGTGAAATGTATTACCCCAAAGGATGGAAAGCTGGTCAGCGAAGGGAAAAGGCGCATGGGGTGAGGTCCAGAGGAAACCAGGAGCCAGCTTCCACGAGTCCTCTCCCCGTGGAGACCCTCGGAATGTGCTGAGTCCCGCCCAGGAGTTGTGACATGTGCCCAGTGGTATCGTCCAGGAAGCTTATTGGGCCTCGGTGCCCAGAGTTTTGTTGGGGGCTGTTCATGTAGGCACCGCCTGCCTAGCATGTACCACAATCCCAGGCTCCCATAGAGACTCAGGCATTCAGCATAGACCTTGTTGTCTGTGCAAGCAGTTGAAGCACATTGAACCACTGCCATTTAGGGAAAGTTTGATATCAGTGTGGGAAACGGACAGACACCAGCCGAGGGCCAGCCAACCTCGCCAGCAGGCCGGAGGGTAGAGTCTCAGGCCTGCTATGTTACACTCTCCCCTCCTTCCTCCCTCCCTTCCACTCTCTCTAAAGATCAATGGAAAAAATATCCTTGGGTGAGGATTAACCAACAACAACCAAAAAGGTATATATGTTTGTAATCATAATAGATGTTAACAGTTCACATTTCTGCTCACCATGTAAGTGAACTCTTTTCTCTAAATTTTATTTGCCGCAGTGCTCTTTATTCCTTTAAGAGCAATCAGTTTTGGCCCCAGTCAGGGCACATGTAAGAGGCAACCAATGAATGCATAATTAAGTGGGAAATTTCTTTCTCTTGGTTGAGGATTAACCAACAACAACCAAAAAGGAATATATGTTTGTAATCATAATAGATGTTAACAATTCACATTTCTGCTCACCATGTAAGTGAACTCTTTACTCTAAATTTTATTTGCCGCAGTGCTCTTTATTCCTTTAAGAGCAATCAGTTTTGGCCCCAGTCAGGGCACATGTAAGAGGCAACCAATGAATGCATAATTAAGTGGGAAATTTCTTTCTCTCTCTCCCTCTCCCTCTCTAAAAAATCAATCAATAAATAAAAATTTAAGAACAGTCCGTTTGGGAGGTTCCGGTTTTAGTAAACATCCCTAATTCTGTTCTTCCAACTTGCCATTGAAAGGCACAGAA